CTGGTGCTCAGGAAATCCCAAAGACTTCAGGAGCTCCGTACCAGGGACCAAGACAAAACATTGATTTCTTATCATTCCACAGTCACTGGACAAATGCACAAGTAAACAAACCAACCATAGCCAGCACTCAGAGTTGAGAATCAGTTCGTAGAGTTGCTATAATATATTATTGAAAATTTCCAGTTTTCAACAGGAAATTATAAGACCCGAAACAAATTAGGAAAGTGTGACCCGTATGTAGGGAAAACAAAGCTAAACACAAACAAGGCAACAGAAACATCCTTGAGAGAGCCCAAATGTTGAACTTAGAAGACAAAGCCTTCAAAGCAGCTGTTACAAACATGTTCAAAGAACCAAGGGAAGTCGTGATGAAAGAATTAATTAAAGGAAGGTATGCAGGCAATATCTCATCACATATTGAATATCAATAAAAGATAGGAGTTAGAAAAGAGAATATATAAATCCTGGAGATAAAAACATAATAACCAATAAAATGAAAAATGCATTACATGGCTGGAATATATATATGTTTAATTTATATGTATTATTTATGATGTATCTGAAAGGCAGGGTGTCAGAGGAGGAAAAGACAGAGAAAGATCTTCCATCTGCTGGTTCACTTCTCAAATGGCTGGGACTGTCAAGGTTGGGTCAGCCTAAGTCCGGGAGCCTGGAGCTCCATCCTGGTCTCCCACGTGGGTGGCAGGAGCCCATGCACTTGACCCATCTTCTGCTGCTTTCTCTGGCACTTTAGTAGAGAGCTGGGTCTGAAGCGGAGCAGCCAGTGCTCCAGTATGGGAGGTGGTGTTGCAGGATTAACTGGTTGCACAATATGAGCCTCCCCTACTTTTCAATTGTTATGATTTTAGCATAAGCCAGCCATATACTAGAAGGCTTATTTGTATTATTATTATTGTTGTTGTTGTTATTTTTATTACTTGATGGCAGGGGTCCAAGTACTTGGGCCATCTTTCACTGCTTTCCCAGGTGCATTAGCAGGGAGGTGGAGCAGAAGTGGAGCAGCTGGGCCTGGGAGCAGCTGGGACTTGAACCAGCGCTCTGATATGGGACGTGGCATTGCACGTGGCAGCTTCAGCAGCTGTGTCACAACGTGACATACATTTGAGCTGGAAAAGAAAAAAAAATTCCACAAATTGGAAGATAAATCAATAAAAATGATGCAACCTGAAGAACACAGGAAAAAAAGACAAAATGAATGATGGTCTCAGAGAAAGGTGGACTATCATTGTGTGCACCAACTCACAGGCCAGGGAAGGCTCACAGAGACAAGAGAGAGGGAAAGGAGCAGGAAAGACTGTAAAACAGCAGCTGAAAACTTCCCAGACATGGTGAAAAGAACGTTAACCCATGTCTCCAGGAAGTGTAACAAGTTCCGTGTTGCATAAAAGTCAAGAGATCAACACCCAGACACATCACAGTCAAAATGTTCAAGGACAGAGAAAATCCAGAAAGCAGCCAGCAAAGCCCAGTAACAATACCTGACTTAAACAGTAGGCAGTAGGTGGCATGTTTATTTTTAAACATTATTTTTTTTTTTATTAGAGAGATAGACAGATGGAGAGGGTTACAGAGGAGAGACCCTCTATCTGCTGATTTACTCCCCAGATTCCCACAATGGCTGGAGCGTGGCCACGCAGAAGCCAGGAACTAGGAACTCAGTCCAGTTCTCACACATGGGAGGCACGAACCCAAGTACTTGAGCCGTAACCTGCTGCCTTCCTACGTTGGCAGGAAGCTGGAGTTGGGAGCTGAAGTCAGAGAGTGAATCTGAGAGAGCGTGTAGCAAGCGCCAGCTGCACCCACCAGTTAGAGAGAGAAAAACAGGATTCCAGCCAGGGAACTGTTTCAAATCAGTTGAAACCAGCATGATCTCCCCAGAACCGCTACTTGACCTCCTTCATGCAAAAGTGTAGTAAAAGTCACTGCCCCTTGGTACCCTGATGCTTTATAGTTGCCATGACAACCCACAGCTGTGACCAGGCAAGGAGAGAAAAGAGGTGGGTCCCTGATTCCTGGAATTCACGCCCCCCTTCTCCAGAAGTAAGAAGACCATTCTGTGCAGATGCTAACACTTCTTGGACCCTGGAAATGCAGAACCCCCCCCCCCCCAGCCACGCATGGGGCCCCTCTGTCCATGGAGCAGTTTGCTCTTTGCTGCTGCCTTTAGTAAAACTCTCTTATCACCTTGCAAACTTGTGATTGATTTAGGTCTCTCACTGAAGCCAAGGACCCACACAGGGGTTTCCAGCTGTCCTGTATTGAACCCATGGACCCAAGTATGGACCTTAGGTGTCTTAACCAGCATCTTACCAGCTGGAGCAAACACCTGCCCTTGGAAGCATGTTCCAAGGACTGACACAGGGGTGGCTATTTAGCCCAGAGGCTAACATCCCACATCAGAGCTCTTAGGCATCATACCTGGCTCTAGCTCCTGGCTACCAGCTTCCCTGAGGGGCAGCAGTGACGGCTCAATGATTGGGAGACCTGGATTGAGTTCTGGGCTTCTCAGGCTGTAATCTTGGCCAGTGGTTGTTGTAGCCATTCGGGGAATGAACCTGCTAATGGAGCTCTCTCTCAAACAAAAATAACTAAATAAAAAAGGCAAAGGATTGAAAGACAGAAACCTGTCAACCTGGAGTTGTGTGTCTAAAGAAGCTAGCTCTCTGGAAAAAATGAAATAAACAGGTAAGCAAACACTCCAGAGTGTGTTGCTAGCAATGCCAAAGGAAGCAATGCTAAAGGAAGACCCAGTGGCACCAGCAGCAATTTGAGCAATGAGCAACCAGTGAGGGTAATTACACAGGTGATTACGAGAATGTAATTACACACTTTTTCTGAATGATTAAAAAGCCACTGTGTGAAACAATGTGTAGGTAATGTTGGGTTTATAATCCACAGAAATTGACATGTATGTGTCAAAAATAGCCCAAGGGAAGTAGGTGAGAGTAAGACTCACTGAGTAAACAGGACCTTATCCAACCCTGTGGAGAGGGCTGGACTTTTGTCCTGGCTGTTGGATGCCTGTGTCTCATATCAGAGCCTGGGTTTGAGTCCTGGCTGTGGTCCTAACTCCAGCTTCCTGCTAACGTGGACCCTGGGAGGTAGCCAGGTGTGACTCCAATAGCTGGGTCCCTGCCCCCCATGGCGGAGACCTGCATGGAGTTGCCAGCGCCCAGTTTTGATCTTTAACCCTTTGGGAAGTGAACCAGCAACTGGGAGCTCTAAAATAAAATAACTGGCTGGCTCTAAAATAAACAAATGAAGATGAAAAATAACTCAATAATATGGAGATCAGAGTCAATTTCACAGGAACTATGAACATACTTAAAAAAAAAAAAAACAAAAAACCATGGACCGTGAAGTCGGGAAATCTGGGTTGAGTCCTTGCTTTGGGATACAGCCATGCAATGCCTGACCACAGGGGTCCACTCTGAGAAATGTGATTTCATCCCTAGGCAGAACTCACAGAGTGTCTGGTCTTCAGTCTGGGTCACAAGACATCTTCTCCCCGTATGTGAACTGGGCCGCCTGCGGGTTTCTGATAGCGTCACTGCCTTCGGTGAAACCCATCCTTGAACGGCGTCTGTCACTTTGTCCTTGTTCATCAAGTTCACACCGTGGCTCTGCGGGAACAGGACATCCCTCACCGGCAAGCAAGAGCCACTGCTGATTTTTCTGCCTGTGTCATCCGTAATCACTGGTGATGCTGTGTCCAGGGCAATCACTGGGTGGGGCACCTCGCTGGCAACTTTAGCGATGGACTTTGTAAATGTGGGGGCCCTGGCACAAGGGAAAATAATGTACCGAAGAGGCAAGATCTGTGAGACCACTTCCTGCCTATCCTGTCTTACAATAAACTATTCTTGATTCAACAGAAGGAAGACACTGGAAGACAACACCAATATAGTATAGTTAATACACAAACTGCTGACATGGCTGCTTAACCCTTATTGAGTATTATGTATTACACTTAATTGTGCATGCTATACTTTCATAGGTGGTGTGCAGTAAGCTTGTAGGGTCAGCTCTAGTTTCTTTGAGCCTCATTTTCTTACTCGATCCAGTGCAGGGAGTGGTGTGGTTTCTGACCTCACCTCCTTTGTCCGATTCATTCCGTGCACTTGTAGCCAGAGCTTGGGGAGTCACAAGTATGTGCAAATATCTGTTAGTCTCCCAGGCTGCAGCGTGCCAGCTCGAATCCACCTGACTTCAGCTCCAAAGCTCTCCCCAAACCCGGACCGCCCCCTCCCACCAGACCAGCCAAAGGCCACCAGGTGCCCATTCTCACTGTCCTCCAAGACAAAACCAACCCTTCCATAAACTGCCCGGGCCCTTCAGGGGTGCATCCCACATTGCACTTAGGACAACTCCCCTGAATTATCTTCTCTCTTGTACACTGGCAGCTGAAGGGAGGGAAGGTATTTCCTATTCACAGAACCCATTCAATATGCAAATGCCCCACAGCAACTGTCAGTCCTGGCTCATAACATCTCGTCCGGTTTAAGATGCGTTACTTAGGGCGTATTTCCGCCTTGTCAAGAGTTCTTGGAAATCTCGGGGGTGACGAGGAGACGGAGGAGGGCTGCTGCATAGCCCATAAAAACGCGGACGACTTCGGAAACATTGGAAACACCAATAGGATCTGTTTCTTACTTTCAAGGCCATGCGGTTTTAAGCAACTCCCCTCCTCTTTCTGCTGTGTCGTTTTGATTTTCCCATTTCTACCCCGAGCATGGAAATTGCTTGCTGATTATAAAAACAGGCTACAGGCAAGCTCCGCTCCCATTTAAAATCTCCCTGCTGCCTCCTTTGAATCCTTTCTTGATTCTTCGGACAAAGAAAGTGTTTCTGTTCTCTCTGGGGAGCCTGTAGGACAGGGAGGCCTGCCCCTTTGATGTTTACTCGGCTTGCCTTGCCGGGATCTCAGAGGTGGAAGGCAGGCTGGCCGCACGGACCGCCCATCGGCCGGAGGAACTGACCAATCACCCCACCCCGCGGCGTCGCCATGGCGACAGGGCACGCTAACGCCAGCGCTGTACCAGGCAGGCCGGCTCGCTGGGCAGCTGGGGACCATGGCGCAGAATCTGTACGGCCCCCGAGTGCGGATGGGCAACTGGAACGAGGACGTCTACCTGGAGGAGGTACGGAGGGCGCCGCCCGGCCGCCCCGGGGGCTCTGAGCTCAGTCTCCGCTCCTGCTCTGCGCCCCTGCAGCCCCCTGACCCAGCGCACACCTGCCGCCCCGGGATCCCAGCTTTCCCTGCGCGCCCAGGTGCCTTGGCTCTCAGTCCCTTGGCCTGCGGACCCCCCCTGCGTCTACAGTCCCACTCGGTCCCCTCTGCTCTTGGTCTTCCGGTCCAGAGGCTGCAGAACTCTGCTCCGTGCACCCCGCAGCCAGCCCTGCCTCGCGTGCGCCCCCGGGTGTCCCCTTCACTGTGTCTGATCCTCTGCCTTGTGTGGTCCCGAGCTGGTGTCGCTTGGGCCCCGCGTGCACCTGTCTGCGTGGCGCGGGGGTGGGGGTGGGGGTGGCCTGGCTGTGACAATCTCTGGGGACAGTAGGAGGTCGTGTTCCGTCTGTACTAAAGCAATGCTCTCGGAGTCCCTGCCAGCCCCGTGATGCTCAACTTCGCTTTTCTGTTCTCAATTTTTACTTTTTCAACGTCCGGCCCGAGAGCTTGAAGCCCGGGGTGTCATTTGCCTTCTCTTCCACCAGGAGCGCATGAAAGACTTCCTGGAGAAGAGGGCCAAGGGGCAACTCCTCATCCAGAGAAACAGACGGCTCAAGAGGAATCTTCTGAGACCGGTACCTTTAAGTCCTTTAATTCCAACGTGCTTTTTTTTTTTTTTCTTAAGATTTATTTATTTTATTTGGAAGAGTCACATAGAGAGAGGAGAAGCAGAGAGAGAGAGAGAGAGAGAGAGAGACAGAGAGAGAAGTCTTCCATCCGATGGTTCACTCCCCAGATGCTGCAACGGCCGGAGCTGGGCCGATCCAAAGCCAGGAGCCAGGAGCCTCCTCCAGATCTCTCATGTGGGTGCAGGGGCCCAAGGACTTGGGCCATCTTCTACTGCTTTCCCAGGCCACAGCAGAGAGCTGGATCGGAAGTGGAGCAGCTGTGTCTTGAACCGGCGCCCATATGGGATGCCGGCGCCTCAGGCCAAGGCATTAACCCTAACGTCCTTTTCAAAGGCCTGGTGAATTAAGTGCACATAGATGTTAAATGGGGGAAAAAATCCATAAATGAATCACCATTTAGAAGATAAAGTAAAATATAAAAAATAGAGTTCTTTTTTAAAATCTGAAAGCCACAGTGTTTAAAATTCTATAAGATTTTAGAAACATACAGAAGCCCGCTCTTAACCCATTGGGTCCTATGTTTTCTTTTTTTTTCCTTTTCTTTTTTCTTTTTCTTTTTCTTTTTCTTTCTTTCTTTTTTTTTTTTTTTTGACAGGCAGAGTGGACAGTGAAAGAGAGACAGAGAGAAAGGTCTTCCTTTTGTCATTGGTTCACCCTCCAATGGCCACCGCGGCCGGCACGCTGCGGCTGGCGCACTGCACTGATCCGATGGCAGGAGCCAGGTGCTTCTCCTGGTCTCCCATGGGGTGCAGGGCCCAAGCACTTGGGCCATCCTCCACTGCACTCTCTGGCCACAGCAGAGAGCTGGCCTGGAAGAGGGGCAACCAGGACAGAATCCGGCGCCCCAATTGGGACTAGAACCCGGTGTGCCGGCGCCGCAAGGCGGAGGATTAGCCTAGTGAGCCGCGGCGCCGGCCGGGTCCTATGTTTTCAATTCTGCAAATATTTCAATGACATAATATTTATTTCAGAGTGACCCTAAGTGGTAGATTTATTGCTCAAATGAACTTTTTTAAAGATGTATTAATTTGAAAGGCAGAGAATCGGAGACAGTGGGAGAGACAGAAAGAGAGAGGGAAAGGGAGAGGGAGAAGGTGAGGAGAGGAAGAGAAGGACTTGCACAGTTGGTTTGAAAAGTTCCCATTAAAATTGTAGATGCAGCTCTCCGTGTCTGAAGACGGGTACATCCATTTTGGTGACAACGTGATGCTTGTCAATCCCGACCATCCCGAGACGGAAGCCGAGCTGGTGCTGGCCGGCGACCTGAGCCTGTGCATGACCCCAGATGAGATCAGAGCCCACCTGAGTGACGAGCTGGAGGTGCCGTGTGGCCTGAGTGCAGCTCAAACCAGGACCCCGGTGGGCAGGAACACCTTTGCTATTCTAAGGTAGAGTGACCTTGACGTTCAGCCCGTTTTCATCATGAATATCCAATTTCACTTTAGTGTAAGAATGCCCTTGGGTTGGAACAGTGCCCTGGGCTGGGTAATTTGTGCCCCACGTTTCTCTCTCACTCACTTACTTGGAGAAGTGTTGTCAAGGGACCCCTATAAATCTTTTCACTTTAGACAGCAAGAGTAGTGATCATTTCTGTACAATTCAAAATGCTTAATTCATAAGTGTTAGATGTATTAGAATTAAGTGAATTTGCTGCCTGGAAGCCAAACGGGTTTTCCAAATATCATCCTGGGATGCTTTGAGCTCATTTGAGTGTTTTCGTGGTTTTTGCTTTGCCATGCTATGTTCTCACAATAGTAGGCAGTTTCATATGAGGTGGCATTGGAGGAGACCTGCTGTTTTAAAATGAGTTGTCCATTAAAAATATGCTCAAGGGAGTTTTGAAAATGGACAATTAAATCCTTAGAGGTACAGATACATTAATGCAATAAAATGTTGCTTTCACTTTTCAATGTATGTAGTGTAGCAATGTTTACAGGCATACAGCCCCAGTGCCTGAAGTCCTTCTGTTAGATTTTTTTTAAATAAAAAGGTTTATTTTATTTACTTGAGAGGTAGAGTTACAGAGAGAGAGAGAGGGAGGGAGAGACAGAGAGAAAGGTCTTCTATCCATTGGTTCATTCCCCAAATGGTTCCAACAGCTGGAGCTGGGCCCATTAAAAGCCAGGAGCTTCTTCCCAATGTCCCATGTGGGTGCAGGGGCTCAAGGACTTAGGCCATCTTCCACTGCTTTCCCAGGCCACAACAGAGAGCTGGATCAGAAGTGGAGCAGCCAGGACTTGAACCGGTGCCCCTATGGATTGCCGGTGTTGCAGGCGGCGGCTGTACCCGCTACACCACAGCGCTGGCCCCTTAGATTTCTTTTGAATACAGATGACTGGCATGAAGATAACTAGAAAGGGGTCACAACTCCTGTTCCCTGGAGGCCTAAAGGGCAGACTCTATGGCATGGCTGCAGATGCGCTACGTTAGCTGTCTCTGAAGGTGTTGGTGTCCTGGAAGGGAACTGCTTCCTGTCCATTGGCTGAAGCCACTCTAGTCAAAGGCTGCCCCAGAGAGGGTGCTCCGCGTCCTGTTCAGGGCAGGGATTATTTTTTTAAAGATTTATTTTACTTATTTGAAAGAGTTACAGAGAGAGGGAGAGACAGAGAGATAGGGGCCTTCCATCTGCTGGTTCACTCCCCAAATGGCCGCAATGGCCGGAGCTGAGCCAGTCTGAAGCCAGGAGCCAGGAGCTTCTTCCAGGTCTCCCATGCAGGTGCAGGGGCCCAAGGACTTGGACCATCTTCTACTGCTTTCCCAGGCCACAGCAGAGAGCTGGATCAGAAGTGGAACAGCTGGGTCTTGAACTGGCACCCATATGGGATGCCGGCACTGCAGGCCAGGGCTTTAACCTGCTGCGCCACAGCGCCAGCCCCCAGGGCAGGGATTTTAAAGGCATGCTGTCACGGTGTGTAAATACACACTGTCGAGAAAATTGATGGTAAACAAAATTGCCCGCGTGAAAACCAGAGCTGCGCGCTGATTCTGACGCCGGGGCTGACGCTGCTTCTGTTCTGCACTCACAGCGCAGGTGGAGACGCCGCAGGTCAAGTCCTTCGCTACGGGCAGGATTTCTGCCTCGGGATGGCAGGGGGGTTTGACAACACGATGGTGAGTCGCCACTCGGCAGGGCCACGTTGGGCCGGTTGCTTTGGTTTCCAAAAAGGGGATGGCAGCCACCAGCGGCGGGCAGGAGCTCCGTGCACCTGGGTGCCGTCCCTGGCTTCTTCCTGGCTTCAGCCCCAGGTTTCCCAGGGCAGTTGTGAGCCGGTTATCACCCCCCACCCCACTTTGACAATTATAGAACATACACCCTCAAGACCTCAAGACTAAGGAAGGGGGGCAACTTTTTTTTTTTAAAGATTTATTTATTTATTTGAAAGTCAGAGTTACACAGAGAGAGGAGAGGCAGAGAGAGTTAGAGAGAGAGAGAGAGAGAGAGAGAGAGAGGAGAGGTCTTCCATCCACTGGTTCACTCCCCAATTGGCTGCAATGGCTGGAGCTGTGCTGATCCGAAGCCAGGAGCCAGGAGCTTCTTCCAGGTCTCCCACGCAGGTGCAGGGGCCCAAGGACTTGGGCCATCTTCTACTGCTTTCCCAGGCCACAGCAGAGAGCTGGATCGGGAGTGGAGCAGCTGGGTCTCAAACCGGTGCCCATATGAGATGCTGGCACTGCAGGCTGCGGCTCTACCTGCTACGCCACCGGCCCCTGTTCCATGTATTTTTTTTTTTTTAAGATTTATTTATTTTGAAAGTCAGAGTGATAGAGAGAGAAAGATCTGTCTGCTGGTTCACTTCCCAAATGGCTGCAATAACCAGGACTGGGCCAGGCTGAAGCCAGGATCCTGGAACTCCATCTGGGTCTCCCATATGAGTGGCAGGGGCCCAAGCACTTGGGCCATCAACTACTTTCCCAGGTGCACTAGCAGGGAGCTGGATCAGAAGTGGAGCAACTGGGACTAGAACCAGTGCCCATATGGGATGCCAGTGCTGCAGGCGGAGGATTAACCTACTGCACCACAGTGCCGGCCCCTAAATTTGGGTTTGAATTCCAGATGCATACCCATGGGATGGAAATTTGAACAAGTTATTTAACCTTTTTGAGTCTGTTTCTCATCTATAAAACGGGAAGTCTCTCAGCTATTACTTTGAGGTGCTTAAATATGTGGGGAAAATAGAACTAAAAGCCAGTGACCATTGTCCATGAATGCAATGCTATGAAGACCCTTCTTTTTTTAAATAATTATTTTATTTATTTGAAAGACACATTTATAGAGAGAGGTAGAGCCAGAGAGAGAGAGAGAGGTCTTTCATTCTGCTGGTTTATTTTCCAAATGACTGCAACGGTGGGAGCTGCACTGATCTGAAGTCAGGAGCCAGAAGCTTCTTCTGGGTCTTCCACATGTGTGCAGGGACCCAAGCACTTGGGCCATCTTCCACTGCTTTCCCAGGCCATAGCAGAGAGCTGGATCCGAAATGGAGCAGCTGGGGCTTGAACCGGTGCCCACATGGGATGCTGGCACTGCAGATTGGAGCTTTAACCCTCTGCACCACATCACCGGCCCCATGAAGACCCTTTTTACAGAACAACGCAGTGTTGTTCAGGCTCCACACATGCGACTCCCATAGTCCTCTCACCAGTTCTATTGGCTGGGGACTACTTTGTCTCTGTTGTCCTGATGGGGACACTGAGGCACATAGCAGGTCAGTGATGCTGCCCCCGGCACTCCACCAGTAAGTTCTCTGCATACCATTTTTCGTTGACTTGAAGGTTCCCTTACTACATGATGTAGTTTGCAAGTGGAACTGTGACAGCCCATGATGGCGAGCCACAGCCTGACTGTAAATGCAGCACCAAGGGGCCAGCACTGGGGAGTGGCCGGTTAAGCCGCAGCTTGTGACACCAGCATTCCATATCCGAGCGCTAGCTCCCATTCCAGCTGCTCTGTTTCCCATCCAGCTTCCTGCCACCACACCTGGGAAGGCAGCAGGTGATGGCCAGAGTACCTGAGCCCTTGCCAGCCAACTGGGAAACCTGGATGGAGTTCCTGGTTCCTGGCTTCTGCCTGACCCAGCCCCAGCTGCTGTGGCCATCTGGGGAGCGAACCAGCGGGTAGAAGATCTCTTTCTCATTCTGTCTCTCTGCCACTCTGCCTTTCAAATCAATAAAATAAATCCTAAAAAAGAAATGCCAATACTGAATCATTGAAAGAAGGAAGTGAATGGCCACTGTGTTTTCTGGAGTTGATCGCTCTGCTAACATTTTCCCTTACTGCGCATTTGTCTTTCTCTATATTTTTATTTATTTATTTATTTATTTATTTATTTATTTATTTATTTATTTTTACAGGCAGAGTGGACAGTGAGAGAGAGACAGAGAGAAAGGTCTTCCTTTGCCTTTGGTTCACCCTCCAGTGGCCGCCGTGACCGGCGCACCACGCTGATCCGAAGGCAGGAGCCAGGTGCTTCTCCTGGTCTCCCACGGGGTGCAGGGCCCAAGCACTTGGGCCATCCTCCACTGCACTCCCTGGCCACAGCAGAGAGCTGGCCTGGAAGAGGGGCAACCGGGACAGAATCCGGCGCCCCGACCGGGACTAGAACCCAGTGTGCTGGTGCCGCAAGGGGGAGGAT